AAACCAATATTAATATCTTTATATTTATCAACAAAAATCATGTACGCTTCTTTGAGGGACATCATTAACAGGCGTTTTTGAACGTGTTCTTTTCGTCCATTTCTAAACTCGGAAACAAAATCATTTGTTCCGGGCATAGGTCTACTAATATCATTGTCATCAAAAAATTCCCTAACTAGTTTTTTTTGTATCATCGTTGATCCCATGCCCACTTCTTTTGTTGGGTGTGCTTAGAATACCCTGCTCATTAACAAGACTCTTCACCTGCCTCACCATGTACGTTGGTGCGTTGAATTCTGATACAACTTTATTCACGGACCAAGACTTTTTTTTTTTAAATGCGTTTATTTTTCCAGGCTCATTTGCCGTAGCTTTGCGGAGCCGATATTCATCGTTTGGGTACAAAACTACTTACAACTAACGTTAGTAAAGCGGGGGCCGATTACTCGCGGCTTTCTCGAGGTTAGGGGTAACAAATTGTAACAAACGGGTGGCAGGATAGGGATTGAGAACACAAGGTTTTTTAGAGCAATGTGCTCTTGATCTAGAACTAAGCGACATACTGGAGAAAAAGACAAACATGGGGGTACACCGATGGAAACCTAGCAACTTGAGGGAACACAAGATGACACTAACTACTAAATCCTCAGATCGATCCGTTTTAAAAACACATAAATTAAATTTAAAATATTCGAGATCTCGGCTCACCAAGATGTCTCTAACGGGCCGCATAGGTTGTTTTCCTCGGGCCCTGAGGGATGCGGATAACTCGGATCTAGCAACACAATGTAGGGTGCATGACCAAAGCACGTGGTCGATATCGTGATAGCCACTACCACAAGCGCACAAATTGCTGCCTGTGAGCCCGATTCGGAAGAAATGCGAGTCTAACGAGTAGTGCTTGGACATGAGCCTTGATATGACACGTATAAAGTCACGGCTCATGTCCAATCCTTTGAACCATGGCTTGTTCGATACCTGTGGGAGAATAGAATGTAACCATCTTCCCAGATCACTCTCATTCCATTTTTGTTGCCAGTTGGCGAGGACGTGCTGACGGGTAATTGAAAAAAATTCCGCAAAGGCGATTTGTCGATCAAAAATATCGCCTTCCATAGCGCCCACCTTAGCTAGCGAGTCCGCTTTCTCATTACCCGGAATTGAGCAATGAGATGGGACCCAAACTAAGGTGATAGTATAGGAGCAGCTAGATAAAGTACTCAATTTAGCTCGGATTTCGGTCAGGAAATACGAGGAGTGCTTCATCGGCCTCATTGATCGAATAGCCTCCAACGAGCTAAGGCTATCAGTAAAAATAAAATAGTGATCAGATGGTAGTGAGGCAATTTGCTCTACTGCGTAAAATATGGCTGCTAGTTCCGCAACGTATACGGAACAGGGTTTTTGCAGTTGATATGAGGCGCTATGAAATTCGTTGAATACTCCAAATCCAGTGAAAGCGTTTATAGTTGACCCATCTGTGAAAAAACTCTTATTGTTACTTACATGGTGGTACTTGTTTGCAAAAATTAAGGAAACAACCATCGACCGATGGTGATCTGGTATTCCACGGATTTCTTGCAACATGGTCAGATCAAAATTTACAGAGGAACTATAAAAGTCTTGGAGGCAAACACGAGAGGAATTGAATGAAGAAGGGCCAATCTCCAGCGTCATGTACTCGTAATAGAGACTCATGAATCTTGTTTGAGGATTTCTGTCGAGTAGCTTCTCAAAATTTTCTATTACCAATGGGGTCATTACTTCACAACGGATAAGAAACCGAAAGGACAGTTCCGCGAAACGATCTGTCAGGGGGAGAACACTCGCGAGTACTTCGAGGCTCATCGTATGCGTCGAGTGCATACAGCCAAGCGCGATTCGGAGGCAACGGTATTGAACTCGTTGCAGCTTCAAGATGTGTGTTTTCGCCACGGATTGAAAGCAGAAGCTACCGTACTCTAGAACCGACAAGATGGTTGTTCGATACAACCTGATCAGATCTTCCGGGTGTGCTCCCCACCAAGTTCCGGTAATTGTACGAAGAAAATTGATTCTTTGTTGGCATTTTTGTTTCACATACGCAATATGTTTTCCCCACGTGCTTTTGGAATCGAACCAGACACCTAAATACTTGAAAGATACACTTTGAGTGATTGTTCTACCCTTTAGTTGAAGCTGTAACTGTGCAGGATGATGCTTCCTAGAAAAAACAACCAACTCAGTTTTCTCCGGAGAGAATTCGATACCCAGCTTCATAGCCCAAGTAGACAAATTGTCTAAGGTATCTTGAAATGGTCCTTGCAGGTCCGGTGCACTTGGCCCTATAACGGACACAACCCCGTCATCTGTAAGCTGCCTTAGCGAGCAATTTTCATCAAGACAACCATCAATGTCTTTTACATTAAAATTATAAAGAAGGGGGCTTAAACATGAACCCTGGGGGAGACCCATGTAACTAATTCGTGAAGTTGTCGAGTTTCCATGAGAAAAGCTCATATATTTCTCAGACAACAAGTTGCTCAAATAGTTGTTCATAATTGTTGAAAGCCCATTATCGTGGAGTTTTTCCGAAAGGACATCGATACAAACAGAATCAAAAGCCCCCTTAATGTCCAAGAAAACTGAACCCATTTGCTGTTTTTGCGCATAGGCCAGTTGAATTTCAATTGAAAGCAACGCAAGACAGTCGCTCGTTCCTTTGCCTCTCCGAAATCCAAATTGCGTATCTGAAAGTAAACCATTCGACTCGATCCATTTGTCTAGACGAAAAAGAATCATTTTCTCCAACAATTTCCGTATACAGGACAGCATCGCGATGGGACGGTACGAGTTATAATCCGACGCGGGTTTACCGGGTTTTCGAATGGCGATAACTCTTACGTGCCTCCAATCATCCGGAACAATGTTGTGCTCCAGAAATTGATTGAATAAGTTCAACAAGCGTCTCTTCGTGACGTCTGGGAGATTTTTGAGCAAGTTGAACTTGATTCAGTTGTTACATGAAAGGAGAGCAAGTGAGAATTCCACCATCGAAAATGGGGAATCTATTTCGCTATTACCCGACGGACGATCACGAACGTTGGTTTGAACCGGTACCGAATCCGGGCAAACTTTCCGCGCGAAGCTGAAAATCCATCTGTCCGAGTACTCCTTGTCTTCATTAATCGGTGATGACGCGTTTCGCATTCTCCTGCCGACATTCCAGAGTGTTCTCATGGAAGTCTCTCGCGACAAACCATCGACGAGCCGACGCCAGTATCCGCGTTTTTTTTGCTTTAATTAAGTCCTTAAAGGTTTTCTCGAGGTCGGTGTACCGCTCGAAATCCCCGACCTTACCGTGTTTGCGGAAGCGTTTAAACGCGGCGGACTTCTCGCTGTTCGCGTCGGTGCAATCCTTATCCCACCACGGGGTGGGAGGTCGCTTGCGGACGGAAACACCCGGAACACGTTTCGTCTGTGCTCGCAGCGCACAATCGATTATGACACGCGAGAGAAAGGAGTACTCGTCCAGCGGAGGAAGTACGTCAACCGATTGACTGGCATCAAGAACCGCGGTCGCGAATTTTCGCCAGTCAATGTTTTTCGTAAGATCGTACGCGATGTCGACCGAGCGAGTAGAAGATGAACCATTGGTAATAGAAATTTTGATTGGCAAATGGTCACTACCGTAGGGATCTTGAATTACTTTCCACGAGCAATCCAACGATAGTGAACTCGAACAAAGTGAGAGGTCTAATCTGCTTATTTTTGCTGGAGGTTTGGCTACGCGTGTTGCTTCCCCGGTGTTCAGAATTGTCATTTTGAAGAAGTCGCACATGTCGTATATCAAGGTTGAGCGGTTGTCGTCGTACAGTTCCCCCCAGCCTGTACCGTGAGAGTTAAAATCTCCCAAGATCAACCGTGGCTCCGGCATAGCCGTGCAGATATCCGAGAAACTTTGACGAGAAATCGCAGTTCTCGGTGGAAGATATACTGAGGCAATACTGAGGCATTTACCTCGAATGTTAACCTGACATGCAACAACTTCAATGCCTGTCACCGAAGGCAGATCGATTCTGTAGAAGGAATGGAGCTTGTTGATCCCTAGAAGCACCCCTTCATACGAATCTGCGCGGTCAAGGCGAATAATGTTGAAATCGTGGAAAGCAAGATCGATGTCTGAAGAGAGCCATGTTCGCAAAGGGCAAATGCATCAGAAAGTGAGTTGTTAACTAAAAATTTAAATGTATCAAGTTTTGGCATAAGACTTCTACAGTTCCACTGAAGAACAGAGATCATATCCCCGACCTCATTCGGAGAATTATCCATCAAAGGATATGATCGATGCAAGGAAGGACCACCTAGAAGCTAGTTGCTTCAAAAAAATTTTCACCATTGGCAGCACTAAATTAATAATGCTCCTCGTTGAGTCAGAGATATTAAATATACTGAAGAAGCTATCCACAATACCAGAAAACGTGAACATGGGGGCATGTTCTTGCTGATTATTCAGCTGCTTTTCTGGTCGAAAAACTGGGACATCTGGGGTTTTAGATGATCCTGGAAGTGACGGAAAGTTCTTGTCATAATTACAAGGTTGAAAACCCGGTGGAATGGGCTTGGGTGCATTTCCGTTACCTCTTGATTTTTCCAAGGTGGAAGGGTGGTCCGTACGAGTGGCCTTACGAGGCTTTTCGGTGGTGTGTTTTTTTGCTCGTTTTCTCGTATTGCCTTTAAAGACAAACGGACTACCCTCACCGACCTCTGAGTCAGAGTCAAGATCATCAACTGGCAAAATGGAGAACGTGTTACTGCTTTTTGGTGCGGTCTGAGAAGATGAAGCGGTATTCTTCAAGAGTTCTGCTAGTGTTCTCTTGGAGCGAGCTTGCAGAGACCGCTTAAGTTTTTCTCCCTGCTGTTTGTACCTCGAACAGTCAGTCAGGGTATGCAGGCTTTCCTTGCAGTACACGCATTTTGGAGGAGCACCGCAAGGGTCCTCTTGATGTTGCTCGCCACACTGATCGCAGCGTGGTTTGTTCGAGCAGTAGTCCGATGTATGACCAAGTTAGCACGGAATAGTCGCTTGGATCATCCGACAGCGCAAACAAAGGTCGCGAGTTAAGAATGGCCTCCGTTTGAACCAAAACGGTGCTCATCTCTTCATACGTAAGCCTGGTCTCACCAACAGTTCTCTTCAGGTGGTATTTCATGGATTTCACCCCCGCTTCCCAGATTCCGCCAAAGTGTGGGCTTCTGGGGGGGATGAAATGCCACCGGATGCCTTTTACGCTACAGAACTCTTTTACTTTCAGTTGATGCTGCTGCTCTTCAAACAACTCCTTCAGAGCAGCTAGTTCATGATTGGCACCGACAAAAGTAGTAGCGTTATCACTGTGGATGTCACTCGGCAATCCTCGACGACTGGAAAAACGTTGCAATCCAGCAATGAATGTGTCGGTCGACAGGCTTGAAACTAGTTCGAAATGGATGGCTTTCACTGCCATACACACGAAGACGACCACGTATGCCTTATACAGCTTCGTACTCCGACCTCCTAGTTTCAACATAAATGGACCAGCATAGTCAATACCAACCTTGGAGAATGGTGGCGCTGGATTGACTCGAGACTCCGAAAGATTTCCCATGAACTGACCACCTGGTATAGGACGCTGCCTAGCACACACCTGGCAATTGGAAACGATTTTCTTGATTGCCAACCTTACGCGCACCGGCCAGTAACGTTCGCGTACGATAGCTAACAATCCATTCTGTCCAACATGAAAATGTTCCAAATGCAGTCCACGTATGATTGCCTCCGTGACGTGATGCTTCTCCGGTAACAACACCTGATGTTTGCCATCATAAGGAATGGCCGAATATTTCAAACGGCCTCCGACTCGGATTAACCCGTCGTCTCCCAGGAACGGTGCGAGGTTTCGCAATGGATGCCGCTGAATGGAATTTGATTGCAACGCCTTACACAGATCGCCGAAACATTCACGCTGGAGGACTGACAAGATTGATGCCTCTGCCTTCTTGATTTCGTCCGCTGAAATGTTACCGAAGCCTTGTTTCTTATGCACCTTGATATCGATGTAACGATGCACGTACACCCACGCTCTCTGCATTCTCATGTAGTTGCTGAGTCTATCAAGTACTATAACCGGACAACATTTCATGACCGCCAACACTACTGCCGACTTCACCTCCAGAATAGCTGATTCTTCCAAACGTTCAGGATCACTCGATGTTGGATGGGAATTCCATAATAACGGAGAACCATTCCACCATAGTTTCCTTTGCAGCAAATCCTGTGGCAATTCACCTCATGAAATTACATCTGCTGGATTGTCGTCCGATTGTATGTATCCCCACTGGTAATCTTGGGTCAGTTCCACTATCGTGGCAACACGGTTGGCGACGAATTGGTTCAGTGATAGCGGAGATTTCTTCAGCCAACACAAAACAATTTGGGAATCGCACCATAGCTTCACGACATCGAATCGGATTTGCATTGCCGACACCACTTTTCGCACCAGCTCTGCCAAAAGCAACGCGCCACAAAGTTCGAGTCGTGGAATCGTTGATGGTTTGAGTGGTGCCACGCGTGATTTGCTTGCAACCAGATTGACGAAGATTGTCCCATCCTTGTTGATGCTCCGAATATACACGACAGCTCCATAGGCACGCTTTGAGGCATCCGAAAACCCATGGAGTTATATCGTCACAGCTTCATCTTGAATTGCACAACGTAGTTTCCGTATTTGATTTACAACTGGAAGTTGATGTCGAAACTGTTTCCATCGCTGCAACAGTTCTTCAGGAAGTTCGTCATCCCACTCAAGACCAAGACGCCAAATGTCCTGCATCACCAATTTCGCCGAAACAATAATCGGACCCGAGGGGGGCGACACATCTAAATCTCAAGTTAAGATGCTCAACAAATCTCACACTATCGAATCAATCTTCGAAAAATCTTCTTTCATTTGTCGCATCTACTTACATCGAGCATCATCTTTTTGCAGGAAATCTTCAGAATTGTCATCAATCTTCTTTCTATCTACTCAGCGTAAGCGCAGCAAAAAACAATCTTTTCTGAATCGTAGATAGAGTCGTCCCCCTCGATCGGACCCAGGAATCCAAGAGGGTCGAAGAGTTGTCATATTTCCGACAACACTATGCGTTTCGTTACCTTCACATCCCAACTGACCAGGGCAGTCCGGAACAAAAAGTAATCTTCTTTCAGAATCCAGATGAGGCCCAACGTTTTGATGCTGTTATTGATCCCGGTATCGTCAAAGCTAAGCTGCTTCTCCTGGAGTTCAGCAGGAATTGCTTTCAACACCTCGGTACTGTTCGAACAAAATGTGTGTGCACCGAAGCCACCTCGACGTAACAGCTCCGAAAGTTCCGTGTAGATTTGTATCACCTCTTCAATCGACGATCCACCAGTCAAGAAGTCGTCGATATAACTATCCTTGATAATGACTTGCTTCGCCAGAGGAAATTCTTCACCTTCATCCGTAGCCAATTGAATCAATACCCTTGTGGCGTGGTGTGGTGAACTGGCAACGCCGTAAGTTACCGTCCGCAAACTCGAACACTTTCAGGTTACCATCGCTGTCCCACCACAGAATCAGCTGGTACTTACAGTCGTCCTTATGGAGCCAGACCTGACGGTACATTTTGGGAACGTCGGCGGATAGCACCACCAAATGAACACAAAATCGTAGGATAATCGAGACGATGTCGTTTTGCACCGTAGGTCCGACCAACAGCGTATCATTGAGCGAAACGCCAGTGGTAGTTTTTGCCGACGCATCGAACACCACCCTTGTTTTTGTCGTCGAGCTAGAAGCCTTATATACAGCATGGTGTGGAATATAGTATGCACCATCGATTGCTTCAGTCGTTTCCTTCATGTGACCGAGTGTCAAGTACTCAGACAAAAATTCATTGTACTCACAACGCTTCATTGGATTCCTCGCCAGTGAGAGCATCAGTTTGCCAAGACGTTTTCGAGCAATGTCGTAAGAGTCGCCTAGTTGACCCTGTATACCGTTGAATGGTAAACGTACTACATACCGTCCTGTCTCGTCACGGTAGTGAGTGGTCTTGAAATGCTCTTCCACGGCACCTTCAGCCACGGTCGTAATCCTCTCCGAATGGACGTTCTCAATTTCCCAGAACTTGGACATCGTTGCGTTTAGCATTTCTTCGTGGCGATTGAGCTGACACACACGCGGGTATGATTTGGCTTTCCTGGTCGGCACCGATCCTCCTACAACCCATCCGAGTTCCGTTTCGGCTAGCGTTATGCCAAAGCAGCCGAGCTTCAAACCGGGTGTGTGGAACATTGGGTCCGCAAAGTGTAGGCCTGACGATATCGGCCAGGATCGGGCGTCTATCTCAACGACGGGTAGGTTTGACGTGACCCGTGGTACGACCAGGAATTCTAAAACGGATGAGGCGAAAGAATTAATGCAAGAAGCGAACTTTGTCGACAGCAGATACTTAACTCGGGTTTCGATATTGTTCAAACCGCTGATCGGCAGGTCCACTGGATCCAATTTCAACTGCAGTTTGCTAGCCAGCTTCTCGGTGATAATATTGCTGTCGGATCCGGAATCCAATAAAGCTCGACACTTCACAGTTGTGTTTCCTTTCCCTGCAACCATCACTTGAGCCGTGGACAACACTACTTGATGCTTGTCACCACCAATGTTGGCGCACAAAACAGTTGCTACGCTGCTGCTCAGGAACATTCTGCTGATTTTGAGGTTGCGCTGCGGATTCTGCTGCATGAACTTCGTTTGATTCTTCCTTCTTCTCTGGAACTGCACCGCTGGGAGCATCCGTGCAGTGCAGCAAGCTGTGGTGCTTGCGACCGCAAACTTTACATCCCCGATCAGACGGACAACTGACGACACGATGTTTCGCCTTCAGACAGTTGAAGCACAAATTTGCCTTCGCTACAACGGCCTCCCTTTCTTGGAGCGACATATTCTGGAATTTTTCACAGCGATGGATCGAATGCTCTGCTTTACAACACGAACACATCTCCTTTGCGACTTGTACGAACGACTTGGAAGGGGGGTACGACTTCTGGCCCAATGGTTGGCGCTGTTTGTTTGGAGCTGCTGTTGATTGCTGCACCGGCTGCTGCTGTGCACGGTTTGTTCGCTGCAAAATACGTCCTCGTTCGCGCAAAAAATCTTCGAAATCGGGTAGCTCTCCGTTTCCCAACTTCGATTCCCATTGCTCTTGGTTTTCTTTATCAAGCTTTTTGTACAGAACATTAACCAGCACAAGTTCTGCTAAACCCTCAACAGGGAATCCATGACCGCTAAGGGCATCAGCATGTTTTCCACAAACTTCAACTAGCTTGGAAAGAGATTTTCCACGATTATCCTTGCTTATTTTTTGACAGTCCAAGATGGCATCGATGTGGGTGTCCATAATTAGGCGCTTGTTTTCATGGGCATTTTCCAGAATTTTCCACGCGGTGTCATAACTGTTGTTGTTAACAACATCTTGATCGATCTTGTCTCTGGCTTCACCTGTAAGTGCGTTCCGAAGGTGCAAGATTTTCATAGCATCAGGCTCGTTTTTGTACCTAGCCATAATGCTGTGGAACAAACTCTTGAAGCTGAACCAGTTCTCAGGCTCTCCACCGAAGCTGGGAAATGGTGCGTGTAGTTGAGGCGCTGGGGCTTGTACGTACACTGAGGTTGGAGGTCCAGGAGCCAACGGGTTTGGCACATTCCGCACTTCTTCCACTTTCATCTGCTGCTCCGCTTGGTCGATCCTTGTCTGCACCTTCACGTACACGTCGTTGTGCAATTCTTCGAAGTTCGTGTAATCCTTCCGCTGAGCTGGGCGCTGATCTCTAGGCAACTGGACAATAATTTCGGAATACGCTTTCTCAAAATCATTTGCAGTTCGCCGCAAAGTCTCCAGATGAGGCCTGAGCAGGTGAACGCTGATGGTCTCTTCCTGCAAAGACTCATTCATCCGTAAAAGCTTGTCGAGCAGCAACGTCTGCCGATCCAGCAAGGCTTCCAGGTTGAATTCCATCCTTCGTTGTCTTTCGATTTCCTGTTGAGCGGTTTTTTGCTGTGCAATAGTAGGCACTTTATCCGCTCCTGTACTTTTCGACCCCGTGAGAGCGTCGAGGATATTCCTCCTTGGCACTCAACTCGATGGTCCACAAGGTGTCTCACTTTCACTCATTCACTTTTTCTTCTGCCTCTTTGTTGGCAAACTAAATCACAAACGTTCACAAACGTTTGAATGTTATTGTTTTTGTTCCCCACAGGGCATCCACTTGCAAATTGCAGTTCACACGCCACAAAATGGCGTAACTTTTCACAAAACGAGCCGAGCGCACTCGACTCCACGTTTTCCGCCAAGATGGCGACCGTCCAGACACTTGTGCCACGGACACACACTCGGTGGCAAAGAACCACCACCACTTTTGGCCTTGCGCCGATATTAACACACGGTGCTAATCACACACTTCACGAATGCCGGAAACCATACAACATTTCTCCGGTGATCTTCCGGTTAAAGACGTGGCCGACGAGCACAAGAACGTGTATCTGACCAAGCATCCTGCTAGCGTTGTGGTGGTTGGATTGGTGGCTTCCGATGGCAAAAAAAATGGACCCGGTGTTCATTCCAGAAGGCTACAAGGTCAACACGGAGGTCTACATCGGAATTTTAAATAAGTATGTTCTTCCGTGGATTCCGTGAACAGTACAATCCGAAGCCAAATGTTTTATTTCAACAAGATGGGGCTCCGTGCTACACCTCGAACCGCACTCAGAAGTGATTGCAGGAACATCTTCCGTTCTGGGCGAAGGATATGTGGCCGCCATCCAGCCCCGATCTTAATCCGCTGGATTACTTAATATGACGCGTCATGAAGGCCAAGGCCTGTTCTAAACGCCACCCTAGTACAGCAAGCCTCAGACAAACATTGACACGTACCTGGAGAGAAATGGATCCAGAAAATGGAAATTACTAATCCTTCTCTCTCTCTCTTTATACACCTATTCAGTTTGTGATTTGAGCAAACTTCTGGTTTTGAATCGAAATTAGTAAATTAATCTGATCAGATCAAACAGCGGAACAAATGTGCATCTATCGATCTCAATGCTTTTTTTTTAGCTCATAATTCGACAACCCGTTGTATTCAGCATTGTACACTATTATACAGCATTTATTCAACATATATGCTTATTTGTGACTCTTGTTTGTTGGGTAGTACATCGCCGTTGAGACCTAGGAATTGTGCAAAGAAGAAAAAGTGATATATTTCGGGTTCGATATTTGAAGTTCATGTCCAATCACTCGCATTTTTTGTTTTCGAATCTGGCTCGCAGGCAGCAATCATGTGATTCGACCACATGCTTTGGTCATGCACCCTTCATTGTTTTGCTAGATCTGAGTTCTCCGCATCCCTCAGGGCCCGAGGAAAACAATCTTTGCGGCCCGTTAGAGACATCTTTGCGAGCCGAGATCTCGACTATTTGAATTTAATGTATGTGTTTTTAAAAAGGATAAATCTGAGGATTTAGCAGTTAGTGTCATCTTGTGTTCTCCCAAGTTGTTAGCTCCCCATCGGTGTACCCCCATGTCCGTCTTTTTTCATCAGTATGTCGCTTAGTTCGAGATTAAGAGCACATTGCTCTCCGAAACTTGTGTTCTCAATCCCTGCAATCCATTTGTTGCTATTTGTTCCCCTAACCTCGAGATAGCCGCGAGTAATCGGTTGACTAACGTTAGTTTTAAGTAATTTTGTATTCTGAACCATAAATTTTGGCTCCACAAAGCTACGGCAAATGAGCCTGGAAAAATAAACGCATTATAAAAAAAGTATTTGAAGTTGAAGTTGAAATTATAAACAATATCTAAAATTGGCATTTTTTTCTAAATTGGTATTTTTTTTTTTTTTCTTAATTTATGTTTTATACTGAGTACCAATGCTACCGACGCCAGGGAGGCAGCTCCCACACCTGGATCCTATATATTGACCCATCAACTCATAGACCGGGGTCCAACGGCTTTATTTCCCTGCCGAAAAAAAGGCGTGATCAAAGATTTTATGCCTCAGAAAATTCCGGTGGCGCCAACTGGGATTGAACCCAAGCCTTTTGGGGTGAGAGGCTTACCACTACACCACCGGCACCGCTAAATTTTCAAATGTTTGAAATAAATTTGATTTTTTTTTATAAACATCAGTTCGAAGTAAACTTAAATTAAGTTTTGATGTACATGAAGTAACTGATCGAATATCCCGGCCCTTTGGTTCAGTGAGGGTTAGGGCGCGTTCTGCCAGGTTGGTCGAGGCAGATTTCATGTGTGAGTAAATGATGAACATTGTTATGTGCAATTCACTTTAAAAGGTTCGTATCATATTTCATCACATGTAGTTCCAAAGAGCCTGAACTAAATGTGGCGCTTGCGAAGATCACTTCAAGAGCCACATGTGAAAAGGGCATACAAGCTTTTTGCAAACAAACCTTTGTAGGCCCTCTTCTCGCCAACCGCCGGTCGCCCACGCAAACTAACAACATCATCGGAAAGGGGAAACCTTCCCCTATTCGGCGATGTTGATGGTTTGCGTTGGTGTCATATGGGTGGCGAGAAAAGGGCATAAGAATGTTTGTTTACAAAAAGCTTGTATGCCCTTTTCACATGTTGTTCTTGACTTGAAGATACGATATGACGAAACATTGATACTAATTGTATAAAACACAAGTTAATTCTTCCAGAAATTAATTAGGATAACATATTGAAAAAGTTTCGCACCTGCGAGTTCCAGCAGCAGCAGTAAGTCCTAAGGTGAGCAGCAAGGACCCCAAAGTTTCCAAGGAGAGCAGCCAGAAGGTGGGCTAGCCAGATGTCCAGCAGTAGCAAATCTCAAGATCGGCAGCTTGGGTGAACCAAAATGACGGAGGTCAGGAGGAAGATCGATGAACTCTATGTGTTCGTGAAGGATAAAAACAACGTACATAAAGAGATCAAGCATTTTGTTACCGGTATCAAATCCGGCATAACAGTGGTAGATCGGGTATTCCAAGAGTGGTGAAAAAGAGCCTAAATGCCGAAAAGGCTCTCCTGGAGGCCAAGGAGAGCATAAGACTGGCTGAAGCACATGATATGCCTAAGGGACCCACAAATCCGCCAGGATGATGAGGAGGAACTCCAAAAACGCAGGGACGACGAGGAAGGCATCAAGAAGATGGGAGAAAATGGTGTGTGGCGTAAAGTCGAGAACCAGAAGAAGAGGAAGAAAAAATAGAAGGAAGATGAAGTGAGGAAGAAGAAAGATGAAGTGAGGAAGAAGGAAGAGGAAGTGAGGAAGAAGGAAGAGGAAGTGAAGGAGAAGGAAGAGGAAGTGAGGAAGAAGGAAGAGGAAGTGAGGAAGAAGGAAGACAAGAAGAACAAGGAGAAGCCTAGGCCTCGTAGGGAGAGAAGCAAATGTGACGCTCTGGTTGTTGAGGCAAAGGTCAAAACGTCCTAGGCAGCACTCCTCCGAAAAGTGAGAGAGGATCCGGAGTTGAAACAACTAGGCGAGAACGAGGTGAAAACCAGGCGAACCCAGATGGGCGATGCTATTTGAGCTTTTATGGAGCTCGTCGAAAGATCTCTTGGCGGGACGGCGAACGTAAGAGCCTTATCCCAGGAGTCAGTGGTCGAGTGCAGGAATCTGGACGAGATCACAACGGAAGACGAGTTGAAAAATGCGCTGAAGGTGCAATGTAATCTGGGAGACGTACCGATGGCTATTCGGTAATAAAATGGGGAGATGCTACAAGTACATGGGCTTCGGTCGCCAGGCGAGAAACTGCAAAGGCACTGACAGATCTGATCTGTGCAGGAAATGCGCAGAGAAGGTGCACGTTGCAAAAGGCTGTACGAAGCAACCGAGGTGTATGCTCTGCAAAAAGGAGGACGGAAACGGCCATGTGACGGGAAGTTTCAGGTGCCCAGAGTTCAAGAAGGCGATGGTGGGCCAGCAATAATGGAGGCAACCAAAATAAATCTCAATCATTGCACATTGCAAACACAGCACAGCAACTGTTGTGGCAGTCGACAACGGAAACAAAGTGCGATGTTGCATTCATTGCAGAGCCATATCGAGTCCCTCTCGATAATGGTAACTAGGTGGTGGATAGAGCAGGAATTGCGGCCATACAAATCATGGGCAGGTATCCCATTCAACAAGTGGTTGCGGGCTCATACGAAGGTTTCGTGATAGCCAAAATCAATGGAATCTTTGTATATAGTTACTACGCAGATGCTAGATGGGCTCACCGGAGAGCTCATTGGACGGAGACCAGTCATCATCGCAGGAGATGTCAATGCTTGGGCGGTGGATTGGGGGAGCAGATGTACCAACGCAAGAGGGTATAGCCTGCTGGAAGCTCTGGCAAAGTTGAACGTCAGCCTGGCCAATTGTGGAACCATCAGCACCTTCCGCAAAGATGGTAGAGAATCGCTTAATAGACGACCAAGTTTAAGTTTGCTTTTATGGACAAATTTGCCAAAAAAAAACTGATGATTTGGCAAGGGATATGCAGCTGCGGAGCAAAGACCAAAGTGTTCGTGACGAATAAGACGATGGACTCGAAGCTGTACAAGGAAGAATGCCTCAAAAACCGCGTACTACCTTTCATTAAAGCCCATAAAGGTCCCGTGAAGTTTTGGCCAGATTTGGCGAGTTGCCACTACAGCCGGGAAGTTATCCAGTGGTACCGCGATAATAACGTAGATTTCATCGATAAAAACATAAATCCACCCAACTGCCCGCAGTTCCGGCCCATCGAGAGATTTTGGGCAATAATGAAGCGGAAGCCTAAGAAAAGGGAAAACGGCTCGGGACTCGATTCAGATGACCAAAATGTGGAACAAATGTGCCAAGGAAGTTGACTCCGGAGGAGTGCAGCGTTTGGTGGGAGGAATAAAGAAGAAAGTGCGAATTTTCATTAGAAACGAAGAGAAATGATTTGTATTGTTTTTTTTTCCTAAAAGTACAGTGAATTACCTTTGTTTTGATGTATTAACCT